AGGGGAAGGGGAGGAAGGTGAAGTTGGTGGATAAATTGAGCTCTTAGGGAAAATCTATTGCTCCCTTCAGTCCACTGGTGTACTTGGGACTGGAGTTCGTTGCCCACAGTACACCTCTAGCTCTGGAAACGTCTCCTCTGGTGGTCTTCTCAATCACTCCTGCAGGATGTCCCTCTTATCTAGTATTATATACATGACTTCATCACCCCCACTCTTCTGTGAATGCCTTTTTGGAAGGCACAGTTATGTCTTAATCATCTTTGTAACCAACACAATATTTAGTAAAGCACTTAATACATATTTGTGCGTGTGGGAGGGTAGAGTCAGGAGGCATGGATTCCTGATCTCAGCCCCTCTAATCCCTCTTCCCCAAGAGCCAGAGCCAGAGCTCTCCTGTGAACACTCTGAACTCCCGACTCCCATGCTGATGGCTATCTCAGGCTTGAGGAAGTGAAACCACAAAAGGACATCCATTTGCTCTTTAAAGGGACAATTAAAAAAGAATCCCCTGCCAGGCATTTCTGGAAGTTCTAATAATTCCTGTTAGGTCACGGAACAACTAACCCAATTGCACGAAATTGAAATATTTAACAAGAGTGTAACTTAAAACTATCTCAAGGGCATATGAGCCACAGGACCAGATGCCTTTCTGATAGCTCCAAGAGGTGGGACTTTGCAATGTCATGGTCCCTGTTGATTTAGCCACTCGAATGGAAGCTCCTTAAAGGCAAGGTATTCTGTTTGTTAACCCCACCTCCGGTCCTTCAAATCTCAATAGAGATTTCACCACGTGGTAGCTGCTCATCTTTCCTGATGGGCTCGGCGAGTGCTACCTCTGCTGGCTCCTGTTCCCAGCCTTCTGTGCTGGGAAGTGTCAGCTCAACACATCTGAGGATGTAATCACTTGTTACAATATGTAATTATACTTAAGGCACTTTTATCTTTCAAAGATACCCCAATAATTAAGACATTACTGCAGCTACCTTCTGACAACACCCAACAAGTCTCTTGGAGAGAAGAGATAATAATATACATAAGTCCTCCCCAGTGGATCCATTTTAAAATGTAATAAAACTTAATATCTACTTAGGAGACAAATGCAAGTTTGTTTCTTCATCTGAAGTGACAGTTTCTTTTAAAGGTCCTTTATGAGTCCAGTTCCAGTGGAGAAATTGCTTTCTATTCTATAGGTGTCAGCGCTTTGTTAATGTTTCATCTTTTTTCCCCCCATAGTGGAAAGGTGAAATCCAGGAGTTTTGTCCCAACACCAAAATGCTCATGGTTGGCTGCAAATCCGATCTTCGGACCGATGTCAGCACATTAGTGGAGCTCTCCAACCACAGACAGACACCAGTATCCTATGACCAGGTATGGATGTCGTCAGTGAACCAGTGGGGATTTTAAAAAGAATGACGGAAATGGAATGTCACTCATGAGAAGTAAAATAAAAAGTAGCCACTTTTCTTAAGGCTCAACCAGTGGTCAAGTCCATGTGCAAGACCCTTTTTAAGATACAGGTTGAGTACCATGTGTCCAGATTGGAACCATCTATAAACACAGATGGAGGGGGCTCGTGTTTTGGAGCCTGCACCTTCACAGCAGCATCTAAGCTCCTCTGGGCAGCCCAGAGCTTGGATCAATGTCAGCACTGCAAACTGAGCACCACAGTGGTCTGGGCCAAGGTTTGGCTAAAATTGTGATACATTGATACTGGACCCTGTCACGAAGCTGTCCAAGTTTTTTTTTTTAGTGGTTTACTGTATAAGGATTCATATGTGCTTATATGCATAAATAAGACAAGCTTTGAAAAAATCTTTTAAAATATGAATGATCTGTCATTTAGTAGGACAATCACATGTTTGATTGCTGAGCATATGAACAATGGGTCACATGCTACCTTGTATATTTCTGTAACTCCCACTGGATTTAAGAGAGAATGCGGTCAACATCATACTCTTTAAGACAGTTCAACTTATTTTCCACTCAGCAGCACTATAAAACAGTAAAGAAAGAAAAAGCCTTTGCCAGTAAAGTAGAGCAGTCCATAAAACTGCCTTTTAGAGGCTCATCATTTCTTCAGGCGTTTCCCCTAAGTATTTAGAAGGGAGAACTGGTTTTAGAAATTTATTCTCTTAAAACAGATTCTAAAGAGAGTGCATGTTGAAAGAACAAGAATTTTTTTTGTTAGTATTCATTATTTTAAATATTGCCGTCTTTTGTCTTGAATTTCTAATTAAGAAAAATTTTGCTATTTAATAAACCATTTTGATATATACCTTCTTATTGTTTTGCACACTGGATTGTATGGTCCACATTTAGAAAGTACATATTTTGTGTTTATTAAAGTTATAGATGTCATAAAAGTATTATTCCTTTTATCTGTTTATTTTGGCCCTAAGACTTAATTACATACATCTCAAAATGGATTCTGTATTCTGTCCTTACCCCTGTTTTTGGTACAGCCTATTGATTAGTCTTGAGTCTATATACAGTCAAGAAAAGAGAAATCAAGTGCCCCATGAGGTACTGGAACAGGGTAGGGCCTGAGTCACCCCTGCCAGAGCCATGTGGAAAATGTATCATTTACATTCATGATCTTCAGCTGACTTTCCAATAGTAGGATCCTCTGAGCAATTCTATACTTTGCTGTGACCTGGAAGACCAAAGTATCTAGCTACTCTTAGCTACACTTGATAGTGAAGATGAATCACTTCTTAGCTTCTCTCTTACTTTAAATCACCTCTTGCTAACTGATGATCGGGGTCCTCATTTATTGATGACCCAGTGACACTAGATCAACCTTTAGCACCTCTGGGATGTCAATAGCTATTGAGTGATGGAAGTTGAGCATCTTAGGACTGGGTCTCGACTGGAAATATTTATGAAATGATAAAGGCAGTTCAACTTTAAAAAATGGTATTTTTTGCAGCAACACTTGGAAAATTCAGTTAACATTAGAAACGTTTCACGATGCATTATTATCTAGACACTTTATACCTTTCCCCAAAGACTTACTGTTGATAACAGTCTCTTCTTTTACTTCTCAGGGAGCAAATATGGCCAAACAGATCGGAGCAGCCACTTATATTGAATGCTCAGCGTTACAGTCGGAAAATAGCGTCAGAGACATTTTTCACGTCGCCACCTTGGCCTGTGTAAACAAAACAAATAAAAACGTTAAGCGGAACAAATCGCAGAGGGCCACAAAGCGCATTTCCCACATGCCCAGCAGACCAGAGCTCTCGGCAGTCGCTACGGACTTACGGAAGGACAAAGCGAAGAGCTGCACTGTGATGTGAACCCCCCGTTACCCTTACCGAGGGCCAGGAAGCTTAGTGTAAAAACCAACAACACAACGAAAAGGTGAAGTCTGAATGAAGTGCACAGCCAAAGTCACATATTCCGGAGGCTTAGGAGGCATTTGAGAGGATGCTCATCTTTTTGGAATCCTGTCCTTAGTTTCGGCATGTAGAACAGGTGGTGAGAAGGGAATGCATTGAAGAGTTCTGGTGGGACTTGAGAAATATGCCAAAAAAGAGAGATTCAGATGGGCTAGAGGTAGGTGAGGAGGCATGCGAGTACCTCCAAGAAGAAAAATCCCGCTCCGAATGGTGCTTGCATTATTGTTTTCTTTGTTATAATCTATTCATGAATCTCTACTTTGATTTAATTTTTAAGTGTTTTAATCTCCTTTGCAAAACGTATATATTAATATACCGTCCTCATTGGGGAACTGGCACTGTGACCTTAGCGTTTAGTTTTCTAGAGGATGTGATCTAATTTCCTTCTAGCTCATCATTAAAATGGAAATTGTATCAGGACCCGTGGGATATCCAGAGGAAAAGTTTGTGAGGCTTTGAAATCTTGCCTTCCTGGAGATAGCTGAGTGAAATGGCTCTAAGGAAAGGCTTTTGCAGTCTTGCCAAATATGCAGACGGTCAAATAGAAAACAAGTGTTGATTTTCATTCAGTCTGATGGTTCTGTTCATCATTGTGATTGTCATTAAAAAGTGGTAAATTGCTCAAGGTAATATTTTTGTGTGCTGTTTAGAAAAGAAGGTGTGTGATTTTTTTAATTTTTTTTTTTTTTTGCCATCGTTAATGAAAATGCAAAGTCAAATAAAAGGTGTCTTGGTTTGAAGTCATAGAATGAATGATCAAAGGGGGGGG